TCGTATTAAGATGAAGGCTCCCCCTGCTGAAGAATATAATCACTATGAGCATCACCATCATCTACTGAACCACCACTCTCTTGTCCAGATGTCTCATGCATCTCCTCGTCGCTGAGAGGAATGTTTGATGATACATGGACTTCTTCTTCTGTAGTATGATGTTTGCTGATTATTGGAGCACACTCATGAAACTCGTTTTCATGAAATACAACATCTCTGCTTTGTAGAAATTTCTTCACTTCAGGATCCCACAATCGGTATTCGAATTCTTCATCTCCATAGCTGATGAAGATGCATGGGTTTGACTTGAGATCAAGCTTCTGTCTCAATTCCTTGGACACATGAGCAAATGCCTTGCACCCGAACACTTTCAAGTGAGAGTAAGAAACATCTCTTCCTGACCATTTCTTCTCTGACACTTCAAAGTTTAAAGGAACAGAAGGTGACCTGTTTATAAGATAACAAGCTGTCAGCACAGCTTCACCCCAGAATCGTTTGGGTGGTTTAGCCATACTCAACATGCAACAAACTTTCTCCACAATGGTTGGATTCATTCTTTTGGCCACACCATTGTTTTGTGGAGTTCATGGAATCGTCTTCTCATGTCTGATTCCATATGCGGCGCAATATGCTGAGAATTCCCGGGAAGTGTACTCTCCTCCATTGTCTGAATGTAGAGACTTTAGCTTCTTCCCTGTTTCTCTTTCTACCATGGCATGAAATAATTTGAAACCATCAAACATTTGATCCTTACTTTTTAGACAGTAAGCCCATACCTTTCGTGACGCATCATCAATGAATGTCACAAAATATTTGCTTCCTCCAAGTGACTCCTCTTCAATGGGTCCACATACATCACAGTGGACAAGATTGAGTAACTCTGAATTGTTCTTCCTAGTAGAACTGAAGGAAACCCTGTGTTGTTTCCCGAATAGACAGTGCTCGGATGGATCTAGGGAAACACCTTTGCCCATGGAAATGGCTTCCTTCTTTGCAAGAGTTGTTAGTCCCTTCACGCTCATGTGGCCTAACCTCCGGTGCCACATGTTTGGTGATGTCTCTTCTTCAACAACATTAAGACTTGGATGGCACAATTTTGCATGGGTTTTATAAAGAGTACCACAAATATGGCCTCTTGCAACAATCAAGGAACCTTTAGATAACTTCCACATACCTTCTTTGAATTGGTTATGATATCCTTGATGATCCAGAGCAGCACCGGATATAAGACTCAATCTAAGATCCGGAACGTGTCAAACATCTTTCAACACAAGTGGGCATCCAACATTGGTTGTTATGTGCACATCATCAATGCCAACAATCTTTGAGAAACCGGTATTTCCCATCTCCACAGCTCCAAAGTGTCCGGATTTATAAGATGTGAATAAGGTTTGGTATGGAGTGACGTGAAATGTTGCGGTTGTATCAACCACCCACTCAACATCATGAGGTACGTGTAAACATTCTTGTTCACCGTGTGTAACAAGTAAGGTATTTGATGACAAACTAACCATAGTCGCACCATCTTCTTGCCTAGTATTTTGACTCGTTTGTGGCTGCTCTCGTAGAAACTTTCTACAATCTCTTTTGAAAAAAATTCCACTTTTGGCCCTATGACTATTATACCACTTCCACATTTAGTCCCTTACTTTCAGATTGTCCACATTTAGTCCGTGACTATTATCCCCTCACCACCCCTCATCCTTCAGGACAGAATCCCGGCAAATTTAGTCCACTTATGAGCCTCAGAATCAGTCTTTGCATTAAATTTTATATAAGGTTGGGTTTTTCATATCAGTCTTTGCATTAAATTTGGTTTTTCATACCTAAAATCTGCATTAAATTTGCCGGAATTTTGGCCGGAAGGACGAGGGGTGGTGAGGGGATAATGGTCACGGACTAAATGTGGACAATCTGAAAGTAAGGGACTAAATGTGGAAGTGGTATAATAGTCATGGGACCAAAAGTGGAATTTTTTCATCTCTTTTTGTATGCCCATAATTACCACAGTAATTGCAATATCTTTCAAACCAAGTATTGTTTTCAAAGGACATACATCTCTTTTATGATCTTCCGCGAACTTGAGAATTTCATCTATTTTGATCTTGCCCACTACCTCGACTTCTTCCTCCATTTCTGCCTCCCCCTCGTCTGTTAGTTTGTGATATGAGGCCATATGATTGTTTCGTCCAGGCTTCTTTCCTTCGGGCTTCTTCTTTCATCAAGGCATCTGGACCATCTACATAATCACCTTGCCATTGGGAGCAGAATTACTGAGAGTGACAACGAGAGTCTCCCAGCTGTCAGGTAGAGAGCTCAAGAGCAGTATGGCTTGTTCTTCATCTTTGAGAACCCATCCGGTGGTACTCGATTGATTCACGAGATCTTGGAACTGACTCGTGTGTTACGTTGTGAGACCAAAATACCAGCACGTAACTTGTGGTTTACTAATCGTCTCATTAGGAATGTCTTATTTTGGGCAGTTTTTGCTAGATACATGCTACCAAACTTCTCCCATAGTGTGTAAACACTTTGTTCTTGAGCAACATGGTGGAACACACTATGATTGATCCACTATCAAATTTGTGCGACATTTTTTCGATTCATTTTTGTCCATTCTTCATCTGTCTTCTTATCCGGTTTGGCGCCATTATTATCAAGAGGATTGGCTAAATCCCTCAAATTTAGCAAATCCTCCATACGAGGCTTCCACATATTGTAGTTTGTGGAAGTGAGCGCAATCATGGTGTTCGATGATGATTTTTCCATAATAAAACACTCAATATATCTCGTACCTTATTTTCGAAGCCGAATTTGGACAAACGGATCTCACCGCTAACTCCTGAATGGTTGAAAATGATAGGGACCGGTCTGACCTCGTCCAAAACCGGTCTGGAAAGGGGTGAACCAGCCACTAGATGTTCGAACCGGTCTGGTTCGGTTCAGACATCAGCCCAGTGTGCAGGCACAGATGCTAGTGACGTGGTGATAGCTGGCGCATACACAGCTGACACATTGCTGACGTGGCCCCACATGTCGGATGACGTGGCCACAATCCAGATGGGCAACCGGCTCGGTGGCTGTTGACATGGATGATGACGTGTGCTGACCTGACGATGACGTGTGTATGATGTGGCGGACGACGTGTATCACCTTCTTCCTCCTGATGGCACGTGAGACGAGTGTTGCGAGTGGCTCCCACTTGTTGACGCGTGGCGGTGCATGCAATCACTTCTGATGGTCGTTTGGTCTTCGGGCGGTATGATCAGATCGTGATTCCGGGCAACTTCAAAAATCACGATTTTCTAACTTGTAGAAATTTTCTGAAAAATGAGAAAAAGTGTATGAAAAACTCAACCTCGCTCGGATACCACTTGTTGGGATTGGAAAATTATTCTATTCAATATCAAAAACAGAATTACAAGATGAGGAGCAAACTCTCACACTCAACTATTACAAAAAATCAATCGTCACTAATACACTCCTACTCTAAGTGTATTTTACTCTTCACACACTTTTCTCACTTTAGAAACTGATACAAATGAGCAACATGAATCACTCTATTTAAAGGACTAGTTTGGAGACAAGAGCATGTTGCATCCAAGCTTCCTAGTTATCTCCATACTCAATATATATCAGTCACTTAATGAAACAGATGTGTTTCATATCACAAATTAAATCAAAATAAAGCATGTATATAAAATTGAACTTGAATGTGTGATTTGGGCTATTTAAAAGTAGCAATACTTATAAATCCATTTAGGAAAATGCATGAACTTTATAGTTTTTCCCCCTTTTAATTTGTTTTTCAATACATGGTAACACATTGTTTTCATTCTGTTTGACAACACTGTGTGAATATGGCACAAGGATGCTCCAAATGTTAAAAAATAAGCAACAAAGAAATGACTTATTAATTCACGCTCTTGCTTAACATTTTCTCAAAACAACACCATCTATCAATGTTGAAATACTTACCATTAGATTCTTGGATTTATTTAGTTGTAACATCAATGCATATTGTGTTTTTATAAACAAATACAAAGTATGAAAAATGTATAAATTTATAGTTTCAATTCATATATCGCAGTAATAATCCTGTCCAGCTGGATGGACAGGATCTTCTGTCCGGCCACCGCCATTTGGAGCGGTTTCCTATATATATAAAAGTGTAGAACATCTCCACAAAACTCCAGCTTAAATTCAATCGGAAAGTCAGTTAAATAAATTATTAAAAACAAATGCGCCTGCCTATATATATAAAAGTGCAGTGTTCTTCAATAATTTATTTAACTAACTTCCCAATTGCATTTTAAGCTGAAATTTTGTGGAGATGTTCTACACTTCATTAAAAAGATGCTCAAAAAAATCATCCAAAATTTCAACCGAAAACCGCACCAAACGGCAGTGGCTAGATGGAGGATCCTGTCCGGACGACTCGACATAATCTTTGTCTTGTATGCACGAAGTAGTATATATCACAATACACATAAGTACAAAATTTTAGGCCTAAACAATGATGTACCTGGAATTCAGAGGGCTGAAAAATTTACTCTGTATTTTATTTGAGAGCCAAGAGCAATAACTATGGGAATGGTGATTAAGTGGCCTTACCCCTGGACTTTGTTTGTTCTGATTGAATACAATTAGAATTGTGAAGTTCTCTAAATAAAGTTTTAAAAAGTTATATCACAAACACAGATTAAAACTAGCAAGTGTTTTTGTTTTGTGTGAGTTCAAATTTCAAACGAACCAGCTTCTTCCAGTTGAAAGGCCCGACAGCATGAAGGTATATTTGAACAAGCCGAGAAAATTAAATAAAGAATACAAATATATACCTAAATTGAGAAGCAAATAAAAATATAATTCCTAGAGATGTCAATTTTATGCCCACTTTGTGTGTCTAAAGTTTTACCAAAGTTACAATGCTGCAATGCACGTTTTTGAACTTTATGGTATTCAGAAAGTTCACCTCAGAGCATGTTTTGTGTCTCTGGCGTATTTAATAGCGTTGTTCGTTAGTAATAGAAAATTAGGAAGAAGTAATCACACAATTTACATGGCTAGTACATACTTACCATTCATTTAGTAAGACAAGGGTGTTCCAAGTGTAAATGTACAATTGTACAAGTATATAACCCATATAGCAGTCATTACATCAAGAATGCTACTTTTTTTAAATGAACAAAGATTTTTTTTTGGGAGGGAGGGAGTATTGCATAAGTAAACAGTAATGGAACATAGCTTGAAAGGGAGAAGCCGACCCATATGTGTTTTGAGGAAAGTTGAAAGTCAGCCACGGATGGGATACAGGTCTAGTAATCACATTAATTTATTTGACCTAGCTTAATGTAGAAAAGCATGAAAGATGAATAGTAGGGGAACCAGAATCCCGGAGCCTGGAATGTTATGCTGGTGAGACTGCTGGTTGGGTGGGCAAAAAAGCTGGTGCCTTTGGTATGTAGTTACCGTAGGGCCCATAATCAGGCACCCCCTTCTTAGGCCTTCTTTAGGTGGATCCAGAAACTGATCTGCCAGAACACGACCCAGCTGCTTCAAATCAGGATCCACTTCCTTCCATTCATCAAGGTGTGCTTGTCGTTCAATACAATCCCAGGTGCTTGTGATGAAATCCCAACCATATGTATAACTTGAATTCATGTCCTGAAGTGCCGCTGTGGAGATGGAGTCGACGACCGCTGGTCTGCTGCAGTGCTGCCTACATCAAGAATGCTATTAATAACCAATTCCAACTATTTGAGATTTTCTTTTGCGGAATGTTAAGCAAATGGTACTAGGGTGTGTGATATATATTTTAGGTTACACTCATTCATTTCATTTCAGCACTAAGTAAGCTTACTATGATTTTTTTGGTTGTTCTGCTTCCATTCATTTGTTTGCAGCATATATAAAGAAGTTTAATATGACTCTTTTATTATGTGTTTTTACTTTTTTCCCCTTCAATGGGTTTTTCCCACTTGTACACATCTGCACTCTAAAATTGATTCATTAGATACATTGCAATCTTTTGAACACCAAACTCTTCCATGTGCATTTGTTTTTTAAGTAAAACACTACTTTAAGATTGTTGGTGATCATTAATATGACCTCAATTCTCTTTTTGTAGATTAGTGGAGAAATCTATTCTGATTCATTTAAAAATGTCAGGATAATATTTGAGGTTATAAAACACTTCTTTCCAGGGATTTAATAGAGTGAATTTTCTAGAACTGAAAAGGTATGTAGTCCCTGAGTCCATTCATTAGATAGTTATTGTCTACTAGGAAGCACGGAAACGCCGAGCAAGGGGAGGTTTCCGTCCCGGAAACGTTTCGAAAACGGGAAACGGCGGGAAACGGCCGGAAACTCTATGGAAACATTTCTGAGATGTTGGGCTATTAGGCCGGGTTGGGAAACGTTTCAGAAACGTCGTTGGGCTTGGGCCTACGCGTTTCCGCAGAAACTTAAAAAAGAGGCTTTAATCGCTTACCCCTGCGCGAAGACCCGACTACTGCGTCATTTCGAACGAAGAAGGGTTATCTGGGAAGAGGGAAGACTGCGAACGAAGTGCAAAGGAGACAGAGAGTCAGAGACCATCGTGAGGCAGGGAGTGTTGCGCCGCTACTGTGTTGCCGTGCTAGACTGCTGGTTCGCTATTCACCGGACCGGACGGAAGAAGAGGGGTTGGTTCTCTTCAATTTCAATTGCTTCCCAGTTCTAGTAAGTACAGACCCTTTATTTATCCTCAAATATGGAACATACTTCACAAGTTAGTGATGGTGCCAGTGGTTCAGGAAGTTCTTCTGTTGGTGTTGATAATACACCTTTGTGGAAATTTGTTACAAAATTAGGTAAAACTACTGATACAGGAGGGACATGGAGATTCCAATGTAATTTCTGTAATAGCATAAAACAATGATATTATTCTAGAGTAAGAACTCACTTGCTTAAAATTTCAAAACAAGGAATTGCTATATGCAATAAGGTCCAACCTAATGATATTCGTGAGATGAAAAAGTTAGAAGAAGAAGTTGAGAAAATTAAAATAAATTCTGCACCTAAAGATGTTCCTTTACCTTCAGCGGGATCACAAACGGATTGGATAAGTAATACTAGTGATGGATAGTGTACCCGGGGGGTAGCTTATCCGAGGGTTATTGCAGGGAATAACAAGAGAGAAGTCAGAGCAAGTAAGAGAGAGAAAGTATATTGAGTTGAGGCGTTAAAGCGTGGTTACAAATGGAGAAATGGGGTGCTATTTATAGTAGCAATAAATGCCGGACAGGGACACGTGTCAAGCGCCCATTGGCCGAGAGGTCACCTCAACTGGTTGGCGCTGGCATCCGCATGTGGCCGCATTTAATGCGGCTGTTGGATGCGACGTCTGTGCAGGGTACGGTGATCTGTACGCATGTGACGCGGATCTCATGTCGGGAGAGGTGCCCTCGGCTGCAAAGGATGGCCGAGGGCTCCTAGTGCCGAGGGCTCCAGGTGCCGAGGGCTACTATTTTCGCCGTTTTCTCCCAGTTCCTCTGTTTGTTCGAAATATCCACGCTGTGATAGTTTGGAGCCTTCGGCCAGGGGGCCGAAGGCACCCCTGGTGCGTATTGGGCCTCTGGGCGCCGTGATCTGGGCCTGTTGAGCTTCCTGGGCCGGTTGGGCCTTCTTTGGTGTAGTAGGAGTCTGTGGGCCGGGTGTTCCCGGGCCATATACTCTATCAGGAGTCCCTCACTCCTTTTGCCGAAAGGTACTTGAGGGAAAAGGAGTAAACTGTGTGTGCCATTTGATGTTGCTCCGTTGTAGTTTGGTGAGGAGTTGTTGTTTGCGTGTCCCTGCCGAAGGCAATCCCTCAGTTACCCACATGTTGGGACTTGAGGGCTTGCTTTGCCGTTTGTTGGAATTTTTCACTAATTTTGTAATTTAATGATTTTCCCGAGGGGGTCCTCTAGTCCCCCACTCCTTGAGGCACTTGTAAAGTGGTGAAAAGGAGTAGAGTAGTTGTGTTGCTGTTGTGGGCCGAAGGGTGACGCTTTTCGTTTCATTTTGGGGGGATGCCTCGTTAAAAACCTCATCAGGAAAAACCCTGGGGGAAAAAATCCTAATGAGGGAAAAAGAGTGCACCGAATTCCCCCAACGATGAATCGAAAATGTGAAACCTTGGTTTAAAATGGAGAGAAATGGTAATGCCGAAGGCTCTCCTTGTTCTGAGGGCTCATGTGTTAATTAGCCGGAGGCTTTGTAGTTGATGTCCTGGGGCGCCGAAAGGGAGTCCCTCAATCTGGGGATCGAGGGCGTAATGAATGTGGGTAGCAGTCGAGTTGTTACCGGGGGGTCCCCTGTTTGTTGATTAGTTAGTGATGAAGATACCCGGGGGCTCCCATTACCTGCGTGCTGTAGGCTGTCCGTCAATGAGGCATACTTCCCGGGGGCTATTCGGCCCTTACAGTGCTGAGGGGGAATCCCCGAGGGGTGGCCCTATATGAAGCCTTGGGCTTCTGAAGGAGTGATGCTGAAGGCGTCCGTTATGTACTGTGTGGGGCACAAACCGGGGGCGTCTCTGGGTAAGTGTACCCGGAGGCTCTCCTTGATGAAGTGGAGTGAAGTAAGAAAATCCGGGGGCTTCCAGGATATAGCCGTTGGAAATATAGCCGTTGGAATATGTAACGTCAGGATATAGCCGTTGGGGGGGTACACGTGGCGCGTGATGGTTGGCTGCCCGTGGGCGGTGTCACCGATTGGGCGATACCGCGGTCTGTAATGATGGCGATCCAACCGGAGGCCCGGTTTCCAGGCCCAAGCTCGGATCCCAGCGCCTATAAATACCCCAAGGCCAGGCCATTCTCCGCTGTGCAATCTCAGTGTAGCGAAGCTCTGGCAAAATTTTTCTAGAGAGAGAAACTTGCCCTCGGTTGAATCCTCAGTTCTCAAGGTCAATTCTCCATTCGCATCTCACCTCTTAGCTAGCTGTATTGTGCCCTTATGCTAGGAGATAGAAGATTTAGAAAAAACCTTAGTTCTTCCGAGCCCTCGAGCTAGAGCCATAATGTCGTCCCAGAGTGATTCTCAAGACATCTCGGGGGCGCCCTCGATGGAGGATGAAGTCCTCTCGGATGTGGAGTCCTCAAGTGCACAGCCTTCGGCCCAGGAGGACGTTGCGATGGCAGTTGAAGTGCAGAAGGAGCTGTTAGCTGAAGTTGAAGCCGAGGGCTTCGAGCAGCAGGTGGAAGACGAAGAGTTAGCCCTCGCCATGCAGGTTGCAGAGGAGGAGGAAGCAAAGGAGAGGACGATGGTGACCGTGGCCGTCCTTCCCCCTCGGGGTGCTGGTGAGGCCAGTACCTCTCGGCCGCTGAACGCAGTTCCAATCCGGGTGGCCCCCGGGAAGAAGAAGGCTAAGGTAGCTGTTCCCAAGAAAAAGGGTAGCGTCGCAGATCAAGGGAAGCCCCTCGATATGCCCGAGGGGTACTCCTACCTCAACACCGCCGCCTTGGAGATCAAGTCGAAAGTTGATGCGGCGGACATCTATGTCACCCAGCTTCACGTGGGCCCCTCGGCCATCGTGGTGACACCGGGTCCAGATGACGTCCTCTTCCGGGATCCCGAGGGCTGTATTGCGGTGCATGTTCTCTCGGTATCCATGGGGCTCCGCTTCCCCCTGCACCCCTTCCTCCGGGAGTACATTCGGTTCGTGGGTCTGGTTCCCTGCCAGCTGACCCCGAACAGCCATTCTTATATCACTGGCTTCCTTCAGCTCTGCAAGTCCCGGGGGGTGACGCCTAGCCTGTACCTCTTCTTCCAGAGCTTCAATTTGTGCCGAGGGGGCACGCGAATGCCGAGGGATTCGCCAACTTGCAGCAGGTGTCCATGTTCAAACTCTTCACTGAGGCGCCCTCCTCGAACAAGGGGTGGAAGGACCGGTGGTGCTATGTGAAGCTGACCGAGAGACCCTTCCCGAGGGAGCTACGTGACCGCTTCAGGAGGCACGAGAAGAGGAGGAGCGCCGCCCTCGAGAAAGATGGCAGAATTCTGGCCATGATCCCGGAGGGCCGGGACAAGAATATCACCATCAAGGAGTGCACCAAGGAAGGAGATCTCTACACCCTCGGGTTCCGGCGGTACCGGTTCCTGGGGGAAACAGATGAGAAGTTCCCAGTGTTTGAGGGAGTCTCCGGAGGTAGTGGCTGAGGGCATTCTCACCTTCACGTTGTTTATTCGCTTCGTTTATTCTTTATGCCATTTATTAGTGACCCCTCGATTCTAACCCCTCATTATTTTGCAGGTATCCCAGTGAACATGATGAACGTCAAAGGCCTCGCTCGACTCAAGAACAAGCCGGCCAAGGATCCGAAGGGGTCAGACGCCGGCGGCCAAAAGCCTGTCGGTGCGCCTTTCAAGAAGCCCGAGGGCGATGCTGCTGCGGCGAAGAGGAAGCCGACGGCAAAGGAGCCCCCCAGGCCCCCAAGAAATCGAAGAAGGGGGACGCCGCGAAGGATGACCCCCCGGTGGTGATTGTAGATGACTGTCCCGCCTCCGGGGTGAATGAGGAGATGCCGATGGCGCAGGTGCCGAGGGGTGTCCGGGAGCCATCTCTTGAGGTCCTTACGCTCTCCCTCCCGGCTGGCACGGCCGTGTTGAATGGCACGGCTGACCCGAGGGCGCTCCTGAGAGGTATAACCCTCGACATTGACAGGGCAGCCCTCGGGGCCGATGATGACCAAGCCC